AACCACAAATCACAGAGTGAAAGAAATACAGCCACAAGTGCTGGCATTCGTGGCCCACACAGCAAAGGCTGGCGTTTGCCAAGAGAAGGCTTTGCATATCTTTGCATGCCTCAAGGCCGCTCGAGGTGAAGGGTTTTGACAACCACCGTGTGGAAAATAACACTTCGAGGCTTCGAGGGTAATGAGTGCCTTACAAATGCAAGTTTGGCTTCCAGAGACATTGCACGAAGTGGCCCAAGACATCCCAAGACCACAACAGAGCTGCGACAATGAAGCTTTGTAGGAGTAAAGGCTAGCCGCTAGCCGAAAGCAAAGGACTGCAATTGTCACAGGCAGTAGAATCACCAAACAATCCCTTGGCTTGCGATATGTCGTACTACCATGTACTACCATGCGATTGGTTGCTTGGCACTGCAAAGACTCGTGAGCTTCCTTAACTTACCGTCGCGACGCAACATGTGTTGGTGCACTAAGCATGGACTGGTTCGGAAGCAGAGCAGAGCAATGTCCTGAGAAGAAGTGGCGTGAGAAATGGCGAGCGACGTCAGAGATGAGAAGTCAAACTCGTGGGCGTCCTGGACATCGTGGGCCTGGACGCAGCTGAGCCACTTGAACAAGACATGCAAGGGCTGTTGGGGAAATGTGTTGCAATTTGGTCACTCCAAAGATCTCCAATCTAGGAAAACCTCAAGTGCCTTCCAATGCTCGTCCATCAGGAGAGTCGAGTCTTCCTTTTGCTAAGCATAATGGGAGCATAAAGCATCATGCCCATCCAGCATGTTTGCTAAGGTGATGAATCCTCTCCTTTATCTTTTGTGCTGGGCAACAGCACCTTGAACAAAGTGTTGGCATTTGCAAGACAACAACACATACCGTGTAAATCCGTGTAAGGAAGGTGGCTCCAAGATCATTGTTGGGTACATAGGTGACTGGCGATTCTTGAAACGGGAATGAGCCACCTTTTCCAGCAACACTTCAGCCACCCTTCAGAACTTCAGCCTTGATGCGTGTGAGGCGTTGACATGGCCGTGCAATATGGTTTGGAGACTAGCTTTGGTTTTATTCAAACTGTGTGCGCAATTATCGGAGCTGTCAGCATGACTGGTGCTGCCAAGAGGGCACTGCACCTTGGGTGAAGTTCGGAATTATGCCGATGCCTGATTGCATCACATTGCATGACTGCATTTCCCATCTTGGCAAAGACATTGTTGTATAACAGACAGTGATATAATAGATACAGTAATTTAATTGACATGGGAAAGAATCGGGCATGGCTCGACTGGCAAATAGGTGTGACATGGTGTGACATTGGCAATTCATTCCATTGAGGTACCCTCACGCACGACCAGTAGAACCACTCTTCAATCGCCTTCGCGCCGAAGGGGGTCCTCGCTTGTGGTCCCACCAGCGCGTGAGGCTGCTGGGGGTGCCGGCACAACACGGCATCACATCATACACTCCGGATTAACTGTTTGCCGGGCTTGTTGCATTGACAACAGCATGAGGTTTGCGGCTAATCCATACAAGTACCTCAATCACAATAAGTCTCTTGGCTGTTTGCATTGCGCCGCATTGTCACCAGCAGAATAGCATGGAGAAAACAACAGGGAACTGGGTAAACTATGGTAAATCTTTAGATGTTTTATCAAGGCATAGAGTCATATAGAGTCACAGTAAGTCGTAGATGAGTTTTGGGTTCGATGCTGTTTACAGGTATATAAGTCATTTTGGAGTAGTGGAGTCCATTTCCTCTCGCCTAGGATCGTCATTCTGCAAGGCGACACTCTATCGGGGAAGACAAACTTATTGCGTCATGCGATTCCTTGGTATAGACGTTGGACCATTTGGCCTTTGTCAATTCTTTGTTGGCGCGGCATTTACATGAATGGTCCTGAACTGAGGATGGTTTGATTCCCCACTCGCACATTTGGTTGTGCTTGATGCTTTTAGCTTGTGTGCGATCGTTTCAGAAAGTTTCGCCCCGCATTGTCCCAGGTGCTGAATCGCAGAGGATTGATACCTTCCAACAGCACCTCACCCACACTCAGGGAATGCGTCCGCATTTTTTAAGTGACAGTTTGGGTGGAGCCAAGCCAGATGCTTCACATAGAATCGAGGTGGGTAACCTTCCAGATGTTTGGAACAAGTCACCGGGCTGGATCAGAGATCAAGCAGTGCACCTCATTTGCAGAGAATTCAACTGCTCAGAGCACTGCATACCGGCATACTACGGTCAGGATTGAGCTTGAACCAGTAGTGTAGCATCCTCTCCAGGTGTTTGGGCATATCGAAAGCAGCAATGGCTGTGGCTGGTGATGGAGAAACTTAGGGTTCCATTTCCTTTGCTATTGCCAAAGCCTGTGTTCATCATCGTTGACCAATACGAGGAACTTTTGAAGAATCATAGCGGCAGTCGAGATTCTTTTTTCGGAGCGGTTCAGCTTTATGAATTACACACAAATTATATAAGAGAAATTATGTATACGTGTGCGTTGTACTGTATTGCCACACCTCACAAATTTGAAGCGGACCCACTGTTTTTAGAGAGATGAATATGGTTTGTTGATGTTTGTGTTTGTAGATCCAACAAGGACAAACATAGATTGGATTGCAGTATATATTCAGATGACCAGGGTATGCTTAAGTTCACCGATTTGTTTTTGGCTACTTTCGGCCATAAATGTGCGGCGCGGCGGGTGGCATGTGCGCTGGCACGGCTAGACGGGCTTGAACACATCCACGGTTCGGGTACATGCCTGCAGTCTACTAAGTGGAATGGAACTGTCGGAAATTGGCAAAGAATGTCCAAAAGGAAGGAGCGAACAGGGGCCTAAACATTGGCAGTTTTGGGGTCCGATCAAAAGATGGATGCTGTCGTGCCTCACTTTGGGGCTGCCGTGCCCAACGCGGATCAGCGCGGATCAACACGGACCAGCGCGGGCAACGCATGCCCAAAATATCACGCGAAAAGAATGCTTAGTTTGGCGGCGTGGGTTAGGGCGTGTTACTGGGATATACCAGGACGATCGTGGACCATCGCCCAGGACTGGTACCACGCCCTAACCCACGCCACCAAACTAAGCATTCTTTTGGCGTGATTTTTGGGTTTTGTGTTGCCCGCGCTGATCCGCGTTGATCCGCGCTGCTCCGCGCTGGGCACGGCAGCCCCAAGGGCGGACACGGCAGCCTCAAAGTTGGCGTGGAGCATACGTGTGTATTGGCTCGAGCATTCAACAACCTTTCTTTTTGTGCCCCTCCTAAACCTCGACTCCCTGTTGTTTTCCTACCACACCCGCGTGTTCCATGACAGCGTTGAATCGTAAATCCAGCTCCATGTGAGATGCGGTTCTCTCCATCAAAGGAATATGCGCTTGCTTTGCTTTTTGAAGTAAGTCATGGAGGCTTTACCGCGGCGCAACACACCAGCGACTGTCGCAGTCGCCAAGCAAAAATGCCCTTTTAAGCCAAAGTGTCCCGCCCCATTAAA